ATATTTGCAGAACTCAAGTTAAAGAGTTCATTTCTCCACCAGATGTGTTGAGGATGCTTGAGTCTGACTTTAGTGAGAGAAGAGTTGAAGATGCAAATTTATCTCAGGAGGATTTGCGGTTCCTATCTATAATGGAAGAAGGAATCAAAATTAAAGCAGATGGTCATTGTGAAATGCCACTTCCTTTCAAGAAAGATCGACCAAATCTCCCAGATAATAAGGTGTGTGCAGTTCACAGACTCCGATGCTTGAAAAAGAGATTTGAAAGAGATAAACAATACCAAAGAGACTACACAATCTTTATGAGTGAAATCATAACAAATGGAGATGCAGAAAGAGTCCCAGAAGAAGAAACTAATAAAGGTCCTGTGTGGTATATTCCTCATCACGGAGTCTATCACCCACACAAGCCGGGAAAAATACGGGTCGTATTTGACTGCTCTGCAAAGTTTGAAGGTGTGTCATTAAATGACTACCTGCTCACTGGGCCAGAATTAACAAACAGCCTAATAGGTGTTCTCTGCCGTTTTCGTAAGGGACAAGTTGCCATAATGTGTGATATTGAGCGCATGTTCCATCAATTTCATGTTAAAACAGAGGATCAGGACTACTTGAGATTTCTCTGGTGGGATGATGGAAACTTTCAGGCTCAGCCAGCCATTTATCGCATGAGAGTTCATCTATTTGGAGCTGCATCATCGCCAGGATGTGCAAATTTTGGGTTGAAGCATGTTGCTGCCCAAGGTCAAGGCCATTACAGTGAAACAACCATCCAGTTCATTGAACGAAATTTTTACGTGGATGATGGACTGACAAGTGTTGCAACGAAAGATGAAGCTATAAAGTTGGTGAAAGAAGCAAGACAACTTTGTAGTGCTGGAAAGCTGCGACTTCACAAGTTTATTTCCAACAACCAAGATGTACTTGCATCCATTTCAGAAGATGACTGTGCAGATTCAGTAAGAAATCGTGACATGACTCTTGGAGAGTCACACATTGAGAGAGCTTTGGGAATTAAATGGTGTGTTGTTTCGGATCAGTTCCATTTCAGAGTGATTGTGGATGAACGCCCCCTTTCTAGAAGAGGTGTTTTATCAACAGTGGCATCCATCTATGACCCGCTTGGGTTTGTAGCACCATTTATTCTGGTCGGGAAGCAAATACTCCAAGAGATGTGTAGAGACAAGATTGGATGGGATGAGCCATTGTCTGAAGATCTCAAACCACGATGGGAGTCTTGGCTGTTGGACCTAAAGAACCTGTCCGACATCAAAAT